GGACGGTTGCGGATGGCGCGGGTGCAACGGAGTGGCTGGAAATGGGTGGGGAGAAGAAGCCGCTGGTGATGAGCGACCTTGGCTGCGCGGACGGCTGCGGACGGGAAATGGGTGCGGAGAATTGCGCGGACGGCTGCGGACGGCATGGGTGCAAGGGGGTGGCTGGAAATGGAAGCCGCTGGTGATGAACGAGCTCGGCTGCGCGGACGGCTGCGGACGGCAAATGGGTGCGGAGAACTGTGCGGAAGGCTGCGGACGGCGTGGGTGCAACGGAGTGGCCGGAAATGGGTGGGGAGAAGAAGCCGCTGGTGATGAGCGAGCTTGGCTGCGCGGACGGCTGCGGACGGGAAATGGGTGCGGAGAATTGCGCAGACGGTTGCGGACGGCGTGGGTCCAAGGGAGTGGCTGGAAAGAGCTGGGGAGAAGAAGCCGCTGGTGATGAGCGAGCTTGGCTGCGCGGACGGCTGCGGACGGCAAATGGGTGGGGAGAATGGCGTGGATGGCGGACGGCGTGGGTGCAAGGGAGTGGCTGGAAATGGGTGGGGAGAAGAAGCCGCTGCTGATGAGCGAGCTTGGCTGCGCGGACGGCTGCGGACGGGAAATGGGTGGGGAGAATTGCGCGGACGGTTGCGGAAAGCGTGTGTGCGAGGGAGTGGCTGGAAATGGGTGGGGAGACGAAGGCGCTGGAGATGAGAGAGCGTGGCTGCGCGGACGGCTGCGGACGGGAAATGGGTTGGGAGAATTTCGCGGACGGCTGCGGACGGCGTGGGTGCAAGGGAGTGGCTGGAAAGAGCTGGGGAGAAGAAGCCGCTGGGGATGAGCGAGCTTGGCTGCGCGGACGGCTGCGGACGGGAAATGGGTGGGGAGAATTGCGCGGACGGCTGCGGACGGCGTGAGTGCAACGGAGTGGCTGGAAATGGGTGGGGAGAAGAACAAGATGCAGCCCACGAACGCGAATGCTCACACGTATGTTAATGTATATATGCAGTCACTCAGAACCATTTTCTGCAATAGTTTGTTTGAACAGTCTTGTATATACATATTTCCCCTGTGACCAGTCTGCAGTGTGGAGTGGACAGTGTAGAGTGTGGAGTGTAGAGTGTAAAGTGTAGAGTGTGGAGTGTAAAGTGTGGAGTGTAAAGTGTAGAGTGTGGAGTGTAAAGTGGGAAGTGTGGAGTGTAAAGTGTGGAGTGAGGAGTGAGGAGTGTAAAGGGTGGAGTGTGCAGTGGGTAAAATGTGGAGTGTGGAGTGTAGAGTGTGGAGTGTGAAGTGTAGACTGTGGAGTGTGGAGCGTAAAAGTGTGGAGTGTAAAGTGTGGAGTGTAAAGTGTGGAGTGTAAAGCGTGGAGAGGAAAGCGTGGAGTGTAAAGTGTGGAGTGTGGAGTGTAGAGTGTAAAGTGTGGAGTGTAAAGTGTAGAGTGTGGAGTGTGGAGTGTAAAGTGTGGAGTGTAAAGTGTGAAGTGAGGAGTGTAAAGTGCAAACTGTAAAGTGTTGAGTGTAAAGTATAAAGTGTGGAGTGAGGAGTGAGGAGTGTCAAGTGTAGAGTCTAGAGTGTGGAGTGGAAACTGTAGAGTGTGGAGTGTGGAGTGTAAAGTGTGGAGTGTAAAGTGTAGAGTGTGGAGTGTAAAGTGGGAAGTGTGGAGTGTGGAGTGTAAAGCGTGGAGTGAGGAGTGTAAAATTTAAAGTGTGGAGTGAAAAATGTAAAGTGTAGAGTATGGAGTGTAAAGTGTAGAGTGTGGAGTGTGGAGTGGAAAGTGCAGAGTGTGAAGTGTGGAGTGGAAAGTCTAGAGTGTGGAGTGTGGAGTGTAAAGTGTGGAGTGAGGAGTGTAAAATGTAAAGTGTGGAGTGAGGAGTCAAAAATGTAAAGTGTGGAGTGTAGAGTTTAAAGTGTACAGCCTAAAGTGTAGAGTGCGGAGTGTGGAGAGTAAAGTGTGGAGTGTAAAGTGTGGAGTGAGGAGTGCAAAGTGCAAAGTGTAAAGTGTAGAGTGTGGAGTGAGGAGTGTAAAGTGTAAATTGTGGAGTGAGGAGTGTGGAGTGTAAAGTGTGCAGAACGCACTTGGCAACGAGCCCGACCCGAGGTCCGAGGTCCGAGGTCCGAGGTCCGAGGTCGAGGTCCAAGGTCCGAGGTCCGAGGTCCGAGGTCCGAGGTTCGAGGTCCGAGGTCCGAGGTCCGAGGTTCGAGGTCCGAGGTTCGAGGTCCGAGGTTCGAGGTCCGAGGTTCGAGGTCCGAGGTCGGTCCGAGGTCCGAGGTCCGAGGTCCGAGGTCCGAGGTTCGAGGTTCGAGGTCCGAGGTCCGAGGTCCGAGGTCCGAGGTCCGAGGTCCGAGGTCCGAGGTTCGAGGTCCGAGGTCCGAGGTCCGAGGTCCGAGGTCTGAGGTCCGAGGTCCGAGGTCCGAGGTCCGAGGTTCGAGGTTCGAGGTCCGAGGTCCGAGGTCCGAGGTCCGAGGTCCGAGGTCCGAGGTCCGAGGTTCGAGGTTCGAGGTTCGAGGTCCGAGGTCCGAGGTCCGAGGTCCGAGGTCCGAGGTCCGAGGTTCGAGGTCCGAGGTCCGAGGTCCGAGGTCCGAGGTTGAGGTCCGAGGTCCGAGGTCCGAGGTCCGAGGTTCGAGGTCCGAGGTTCGAGGTTCGAGGTTCGAGGTCCGAGGTTCGAGGTTCGAGGTCCGAGGTCCGAGGTTCGAGGTCCGAGGTCCGAGGCAAAGTTTCAGTGCATTTGCTATCCGTCAAAATAAAGTGCCTCTGACGCTACAAGGGTGTCATGAACTATTAACCATGATTCATTTCATCACGGGTAATAACAATGAACTATTAACCATGATTCATCTCAGCAAGCATATATCTTTATTGAATCAGCAATCAGTATGCAATTCCCCGCATCATATTCTAACATTTTCACAGTTAACCGTACTGTCATGCATGATGATGTTGATTGATAGTACGGTTAACTGTGAAAATGTTAGAAAATGATGCAGGGAATTGCATACTGATTGCTGGTTCAATAAA